TTTAACGTGAACCTGTAGCAATCTCAAGCAAAGTACAATGGAAATACAAAATACAGAATATGGAGGCATACTGTCTCATAAGCAAAACTGGAACATAAGCAAACATGAGTGCAATAAGTGAAGTAACTCATAGGAAATGTGATCCTATATTTACTTCTTGTATTTCGTAACTTTTTAGTCCTTAGGTTAACCACAAACATTTTAATAGCTGTGTTCATAACAAGCAAATAAACACCTTGATAATCTTACTGATCATGGTAGCTACAGCATTATAGCAAATAGTCATAACTTACAAACAACATTCATTTCATCAGTCTGTGCAAGGGTATAAAAAAGTTTATAAGTTTTCCTTTGTTATTAAACCTGAACACATAACAGATTTTTAAAATATCAATTTATAAGGTAAGAAATTTCAACAGACTTCCTGTACAAATACTGATTATATTGTTCATAGTTCAAAACCATATATGATGTAAGAAGAAAGACAAAAGAAAATAATCTCATGAAGTATTAAGTCTACTGTGCAATGCTTTAGGGATATGCTTGATAGTTGATAAATAATTCATCTAATTTAAATGCAAATAGCAGAACATCATTACCATATAGATCGGTTCAATAATTCCTAAATGAAAGATCATATGTACTAATCAACTACCAGGAGACTTTCCACCTACAAAAGGAAAGTTAACTGTTTAGTGGGGAACAAATAGACAATTCACAAAGAATCACAAACCCTAATAGAGGGTCCAGAGTGCCTTGACCAGCTCAGGGAAGGAGAAAGGTAAGGACAGGAATTGCCTTCCACTTATCAAGTCTAATTCAGCCATTAAAAAAAAATAATTAAAAAATAAATACAGCTGTTGAGTAAATTGCCATTTACATGCTTGAAATTAATTTTATCTGTATACATAAAAATAGAAAACAAGGATTTTGTATAAAATATGATAATCCTGTTTCTATGAAATACTATAGAAAAGTCCCCTCTCCCATACACAAAACAATACCAACTAAAGAAAGTGCTTACTGCTGTGCCTTTATTTCTCCAACGGACTAGCTCATGTCAGAGCAGCTGAGGTTGGTTTAAATAGTTACACTATTAAACATTTCGCTGGCTTGGCCAAAAAAGATGTCATATAAGATAACTTCAATGAGGCCCTCCAATCCTACAGAGGCATCCGCTGATGAAAATCCGTGTAAGTGTAAACTCTGGATGAAGTAAAGTTGATGCTGGCTGGATGTTAAGCAGCACAGTCCAGGAACCTATTGCAAGACTAGCCAATTTCTACAGTTTCTGGAGTAAAATATTAGCATCTCAAAATAGACATACTGACTATATGCATAGATTAGAATATTAACTCTTCCCTGTAGGCAAAATCAATTAGTAGTAGGCCATCAGTTAATCTTATGTGATTGTTTCTATTTACTTGAACACCTTTTTTGGCTTTTTTTTCCTGTTATTTAAAGTAATCCATATATAAATACATTCTCCAGACATAGATATGACATTAATTTGGCACATCGTTCAATCAGTTGTATTGATCAATGTAAAATAGTATTACATTAATGCTATATTTGCAAGTCATGAGCCTTTAAAAATATACTAGTATATGGCATATAATGATACCTAAAAACAGAATAGTAAAAAGCAACAGTGCTCTGCTGCCTGGGAACAGGGATGCATTAATTATGCAGAACGTATGTGTATGTGGGTTGGCTCTGGCTCCAACTCTGCACAGCCTTTAGGATTCACTCAGGCATGCATTACCTGAATTACGTGACCACTAAGCAAAGCTGACGGGGTTTCATTCCAATACCTCATCGGTTACAAACACAAACTTTAATTGCAATTCGTCACATGCTTGTGCCCGTATGTGATTTATCTCACTAAAATACCATCTCCCCAGGCCAAATAAAGAAGCTGCTCATCTCAAAGACCACTTTCAAGTATAATGAAAATAAATGGAAGTTAATGGCTAGAGTGATTCAAGTCTTATTTGCATGAGCTTTCCAGTATCTATATTCTTAGCTCTCTGCTATGCAAGTACAATGCTTTTAATGTGCCTGGCACATCCAAGCTGACAGACATCAAAAGCTTGTAACAGCCTAATGAAAGCAGCTAGTACTAGGAATGGTTATGATTAGCAATTGAGAAAATAAGGTAACTGTCCAGTTCTTCAGTGCTGCTTAAGCATAGAGCAATCATACATCCTTCACAGAGGTTAACGTGAACTGTGTAGCTTAACAGCTTTTATACATTTTCCACACTCCAGCACTAGAAAGAAAATACTCAACATCTCTGCTATTTATCCTTGTCCTCAGTGCCCTAAAATAATTACTGGTCTTACAGCACTGCTGTATTACCTTTCAGATTCACCCTTCCCCCAACACTGGCAATGGTATTGAATATTGATGAGTTAACACTGAAAAGTCAGTTTCAAGCACCAAACTACCTAGTCTGCATTTTTATAAGCTGATTGTGATGAAAATATACTGTCACTAGAATTGACCACAACATAAATTTTGATTTTGGGTTATCTACACTAATTTTAGCTGTTTTATACAAAATACATACCACACCCAAATCAGAAATTTAACTTGTGTTTTATTGGCCAAGGAATTATTTTGCTACATATTATTACTACTTCACACTTACCATCTTAATTATCTACATGAAATAAAAACAATAGCTATCCTGCTTTCATACTTTAAGCCATCCATCCCTAAAGTGTGCACACACACAGACTCCCCAACGGGGACCCACTTGCAGCATTTTCAGAATAATCTTTTTGAAAATTTCCATAGCCTCTCTATTTGGATCTTGCTGGATAGTGTCTTAGTAATTTTTATTTTATGTTTTTAGTTCAAGTGCCGAATAGTCTAGCTAGCCAATAACTCTCACATTGATGTCACTTACGCATGGGTCATTTCCTAAAATGTCATTTCCTAAAAGCAGGGAAACGTTCAGCCAGGTAAAATTCTACACTTAGGTCATCACAATAAGCAAGATGATGAAAATTAAGGAAGTTATAGCTTCAACCAGAAACACTTTCAACACTTCAGACACCACACAGCTTAGACTAGAGTACATAAGTAATTTAACAATTTGATGATGCAGGAGATTTCTCTTCAAAAGGGGTTTTTGGCCTGCTCCTGACTTTCAGCTTTAAATGAACCTGAATTTCAGAGGGAAGCTGCAGGACACATTCCTGTACCTGGCACAGGGCTGCCAGGCAAGCTGTTTACAGCTGAATGGACTATCTCATGTACATTGAGGCAACTGCCGGCCAGTATTCATCCTAGGGATTGCTCACTAGGCAGATTTAGTGCCCTGAAACTTGTTTACCATTTTACAGACCAAATGGAAAGCAGAACAAGTTTACTCCTCAAGAGACCCCAAGGAGCTACAGGGCAAAGCTGCTGATTTGAGCTGACAAAACCTTCATGATGGTCAAGAAAATTAAAGTAGGGAAATGGAAATGGGATGATTAAATTATTCCATCCAATGCCCCATGCTTAAACTGAACAAACACAGCTCTTGGGAGTCTGCACTCTATGTCTTAATTCTAATGAGTTTCTGAAGAGAGAGATTTTAAGCAAAGGGAACTGCAGGGGTTGCAACTCTGGAGCTGATGTGCCTTAGCTCTAGGCGAAGAGGGAGCACAATTCTCCACATCACGTGCTTTATATTGGATGTTTTACCACTCAACACTGTCAGTGATACAGAATATGAAGCCTGAAATCCTGTCTATTGAACAAAGACAGGCAAAGCTTTTGTTCAGTTCCAAGAAACTCACAACAAATTAAGCCCAACATTCGAAGCCAAGAGCAGAGAGACAGGGGGGTAGATCGGGCTGTGTCAAAAAGAATTGAAACAAAAAAACCCCCAAAAAAACAGAAAAACAAACCAAAAAACCAACACTGGATGAAAATTATTTTTATTCTCCATTTAGTGGACATGGCCAAAGTTTGGTGACCATATAACTTTCAGTATTTCTTTTGAAAAATCATGTTTCAGCTATTCAAAATATAAACATACTAAAGAAAACCACCAGCTTTCCAAGCTTGAATACACTGCTTCCGAGAGTAAAGGCTGTCAGGCTACTGTGGTTTTTTTCTTCTTTCTTTGGGTTTACTCTTTAAAAGTGTCAGACCACCATGGAAATTGATACAAGCACTAATGCCTATTACACGTTAGCGTGTAATGCAGTACAGCATACTGGTTATACAATACACTATTGTTCAATAAACTGTTGAGCAGTAAAACACTACTTAGGAAGGCCATATGCTTGTCAGGGAGATTGCCAGGAGAAACTGTTACTCAGTTTAATGAGAGAGAAACAAAACTAACTCCTCCCAAAAGTTAGCTCTCTTTTTCAAGGTAAATTAACACCAATTAGCTACATTATTTCATCATTCTTCCTAAATGTGTTTTTTCAGATAAAGCTATAGAAAAACAAGATAAAACTCTGACTTGTATGTGCTATGTGTTTTATGCTAACTGAAACAAGCATAGATTACTTCACTGCAGAGTGCAGTGGCAGAGAATTCAGCTCATAAATGTAATCTCTTGCAAAATAAATAGAATTTTTCCTATAACACCACACTCATTTTCCAATTCTGGCTGCTTTGACAAGGCAAACAGATTAGAGCAATGGCACCTTATTTCCCACTCAAAAATGTAAGTAATTTAAACTGCTAGTCCAAAGAATAATAGGAAATAATGGAAAGGAAAAGGCTTCCTAAAGAAAGTGGAGAGCATTCGACAGAAAAGAGGTAGTTTTATTTTCTACTTCATAAAGATAAAACCAGCTTTAACTGCAAAGTTTGTAATACCAGTTGTATCTTTGACGTCGGAAGGATATTCACAACTACACGGGCTGTGGATAACTGGGCTCGACACATGTGTCAAGAGAAGAAAAATTGGTGAATGACTCCAAAAGTGCTCATCAGTAAAGCCTGCACTGACAGTGTGAAGTATTGGTGAGTTTCTCAAGTACCACCTGTGGATGCACTTTTAAACTTACCGCTTCTCCACGTCACTCCAGTTACAGAAAAGCCTTTCATTTTCTTTTTGCAGATGCTCATTTTTTGCCTGCAGTCTTCCCAGGCAGTCCAGACAGTAACTGATCAGCTCCTTAATCACCTCTGCCGGACTCGAAACTTTCTGCAGCTTCAGAGATCCAAGTCTAAACTAGGACACGAGGAAAGAATGAGTTACTTCATCTGTACTAGAAAGACCACAAAACCTCACTCCAATAAACTTGAATTCATACTTAATAAGCAAAAGAAATACCTTACAGTCGTCCAATTCAAAGTGATATAATAAATTTGTCATAAGAATAACTGTGGAATAATCTACACACCATTTACTTATGCAGCCGATATGTCTTAATGGTCACCTGTGATTCAATGGGCACAGGATGTAAGTACTGACATACTTTCTAATGGGCAGGAAAAGAGATTCCACGCAGCAAGAGTAGCATGATATAGCAACAACCTGCTCTTGAACAGGTCAAAGGAGGTCAGTAGCATAAAGGTGCAACCTCAGATTTCATATAAAAAGCATTTTTGATGTAATGCAGAACCATGGGAACTGACAACTTATACGGTATTGCTAACACGTTCTTGCATCTGCCCAATTCTCGTACCCACAGCACCAATACAACAGCATAGACATTACTGATAAACCTAATGAACATTAACTACCTTTGGTTTAAAGCAGCGCTACCAATGCCTCTCTAAAACACTTGCATGCACCTGATGGATGAAAACTGGTCTGCAAGTTTTCCCTTTCAGGGCTCAGAGAGCAAGTTCTTAATAATAAAAGGAGTCCTTCAATTAAATAGGTGGCCTCAGTAATTCAATGAGATTAAAGGATAGGATCTATAATGAATCATTATATTTCTTCAGCAATGGGGATGTTATACAGGATATACAAGAGGCCTGAACAGATTTGTTCTGCATGGCCTGGCAGAAACAACAGAAAACTGTTGTTTCTGTAATGTTAAAGGAGGAATAGTTCAGTCATATGAAGAAAACAGTATCAGCTAAACTATAAATACATAAAACTGGATGAAGATATAAAGATATAAAATATGTTCAACATTACAGTCTGAGGCAATTGAAGAAGGAAGGTATTAAGGTTGCTTGAATAAGGTCGCACACATTATCTTAAGAGAAACAAACCAGAAGTGAATGACCTGACTTTAGTGCTTTGGAGTTGGTAGATGATGGGGAATCTGAACTACCTTAAGGTACACTTCCACAGCTAACAGAGCCTACAGAAAGCCTTAGGGGGCTTTTCCGACACCTCTCCATATCTAGCAGCAACATTTGCCCAGTTTGACAAGAAACTAGTTGAGGGAGCTGATCCAGAGAAAACCAGAGTGGGTTGGATGACACAATCAAGACTTTGGCCAGCTGAAACTAGAGCGGAAGCAGACTTCTCAGGTAACAGGCATCAGAATGACTTGGCTTTGATTGGAAACGCCTGCAGAAACACTGAGTTGGTGAAAGGTAAGTGGAAGGAGAAGAGGTCCTCTCTCACATCTTGTAATTATTAAAAGGATTGCCATAACTGTTATGGCATTTCCCTACAAATAGAACTATTACTCATCTTTTCAAGTTGAATATATAACACCTTAAAAACAGTATAAATGTAAGTGGTACCTGCTAGGGAAGAGTTCCGTCTATGTCATGACACCTCACCTACTAAAATCAGAAATGCCATTTCATTCATTTTTTTTTTTTTCCCCTCACTTTAGTTAATTTTACTTGTGAAGGCATGGAAAATAACCAAATAAAAGAAATTTATGAAAAGTATGTATAGCATTTGTTAATACTTTTTAAAAAGTGAATTTTACTACAGCTATACATAAGCTTTTGCTGAAAAAGGTTTTGATTGCTCAGAAAGATTTTTAAGGCATTGTCTGAAACAAATAACAGTCCTCCAACTTAGATAAGATATTTTACCTGTGGACGTCTCTGCAACAACATGATACCATCTTTAGAAAGGTTAATTTATCAGAAAATGCAGCAAACCCAAAGGTTTATTTTCAAAATAGCCACTGATCTTTCTTCCAAATTCAGATGTACTGTCTCTAACATGTCATTTTCCTTTAGCTTACGCACATCTGATGGCTACAGATGAAAAGATGCATTTAATTTATTTTTAGAAATTAGATTATATTATCAGTAACCCACAGAGTGACATGTATTCCCTGGCTATCACACTCGCTGTTTGACAGCATTAACAAAGATGGACATTTGCGTAAAGGAAACTGTTTTTCATCACTTGCAAGCCACCAACAGACTATACGGATAAAGAATTCAAGCCACACTTTAATACTAGCCACAGAGAGAGAGAAGCACAGTAGCACAGATAAATAGCAACACAGTCTTCTCCTTACACTGTGGAGGAAATAGCAAGAAGTGTACATCTTTTTGTCTTAGGCTTTTAATATAATCAGCTGGGATAAGGTATAGGAAAATACATTTAAATAGGAGAAATGCACGTGGAACAAACCACAGTTTACTCAGCACAAGAGCACAAAATCAGAATACTCCTAAAACAGGTTAAAGTGAGTAACTTTCAGATTTCAGCTGAAAGCCTGGTTTGACTCTCAAACACGCAGCAGACATTTCCAAAGCAATTGTAATTATAAACAAACACCAATTCAGCCTCTTACTTAAACATATTACATAAATCGATACTGATAGTGCAACATGGAGTTTTGAAACTAAAAAAATACATCCTCAGCTTCATGGACCTCTGCCATGAAAGGATTTCTGAAAATCTGTATGAAAAAAACCCAATGTCCTTATTTTTATAAAAGCTGATACACTGAAAGAAATCAAACCAGGTTTTTGGGCATGCTGCTTTTTTTGATGAATTCTCAAAATGGAGAGGGGAGAGGTTACACTGCAAAGAGCAGAGCCAGATATGTGTGCCAGCCTGTTGAGCCATTGCTAAGGTGTCAAGCAGCAGAGAGGAGGTGCTGGAGAGATTTGCCACACGGCTACAGGGACGCAATGAATTTGGTTGGCCATCTTCTCAGGTGTTCATTTCAAAGTCCAACACAGTAATAGTTATTCCTTAATTCAGTCTTTATACAAAGCAACTGACTATTATGTACTTTCTTACATTAAACTTCACTGTGTTGCTTCTTGTGTCTTACACACCGTGATCTGTGGACCATTTCTAGGAGGTCCACAGAAGGTAAGCAAAGCAAGCCCATCACCAAGAGGCTTAGATTTATTAGGCAGGCTCTCACACATCAACTGAAAAACAAAGAAACAAACAAATCATAAGGCTTCTGCAAAACAAGTATTCTTCTGTATCTTTTTTCCCCTCCCAGTCATCTAATCTTAACTTAGGATAGTTGTAGGAGTGAATTATCTGGGTTTCATTGCAGCTATCTCCAGCACCTCAATGCAGAAAAACATGGGACGTTTACATACAGCCCTAATTAACCCAAAAGTAATGTGATATTGGATATGCAGTTTTGCTTCGCCTCCTTCATACAGAATGTTATACAAAGCGTACCAAAAAGCTTCCTCAGGATGTTTCTTCAACATGAAATTATTCGTTACACTGAGCTATTACACCGCCTCTTTAACAAGCACAAAAGCTAGCACTAACAATAGTAACATTGTTATCTGAGCAAATTACAACTGATTGGCATTTTCCCCTGTAAAGAGCCCAGTGCTGAGAGACTGATAAGGCATAAAGGCAGACAGATCCGTTTCATTTCCAAAGCACCAAGACAAAGCACGAGCCATTCGTAAAACAATGTAAAGAGAGTGAAATCTCAGGACAGTTTTGCTCTGAAGTCCTGCTGGCATCCCAAACTGGAAAGCAAACTGTGCAGATGCACAAAATAGCACAATTTGAGATCCAAGGATTCTGAATTCAGGACAGATGTGTGATTTGCAGCACTGATTAACACAGAATTCTATTGAAATTCAATGTTTAGGGGAAAAAAAAAATCATAAAAAAGGAGGCATTAGTTTTTCCACATTTTGCTTAGTTTTTGCTAGCAACTAAACCAACAAATAGTACAGTTATTTGTCCTTCATCACAAAAACCACAGTAGTGAAACTGGGAACAGTGCTAGAAAGATTGAGCAGAAGTGGTTAAAGATCAGGATGCCATAAGAAACAATTAATTGGGTGGGATATCAAGAAAAACAGATCTTGCTTACTTCATCAGTGAAAGCTCAACATTAACACTTCACTTAAGCCATTTTTACATATGGCATGTCTATAATTTGGATCATGTTTCCAAGGTAAGTCTCATTTTGTAAAATCCTGCACATTGCTGCTCTCTAGCTTAATTTATATTTCTTGCCATTCTTCCAGCTAGTTCTCTAGCTTTGTATCATCTGCAGATGTAACTAATGTGCTTTCTACTTCCTCTTCCCCATCATTCAAGAAAACATTATGTAAAACAGTGAAGCACTAAACATTTCATTTATACAGAAAATGAGCATATCTGCTAGAGGTCCCAGTGGACAACAGACTGATTGTGAATGATATACTGCTTCCCTCCAAAAAACATGTGTTTTATTGTTTGTTGGGGGTTTTTTTACTTGTTTTTTAAAGACACAAGAAGATAAATATAGAACTGTTCAAAAAGTTGTGATCAGAAATCACACTCAGCACTTACCCCTTAGACCAGTATTTTAAGCTTAGAAATGAAAACAAGAATTAGAAGCTTATGACAAAACTGTCATTTTCCCATCACCTCTCACCTTGCCCACTGTTTGTCTTCTACAGATAAAGAAAGAAGTGATCACAGCCATAAGACAGAATATATTTTGGAAGTAAATGCAAAAGCATTTCGAGCAATTTTTCTTCTAATTACTGATGTTTACAGGAAGGTGCTTCACTTAGGGTAAAAAAATGTCTTTAAAACATGAGCCAACACATTTTTTCATGGAAAATTCTAAAACTAGATGAAAATTACTTTATTGTATAGAGACAGTGGATTTTAATTTTGCATTATACATACATACATACATATATGGTATGTAATCTTTGCATTACTACACTCCACAAGAAATTAGGGTTATCCTATCTAGGTCAATAAGTATCAAAGGTCATGCACTGAAATGAGAAGCTGTTTACGCAGCGATGCCTGCGGGCTCTCATTTCTGAGGCAGAATCTGATGCTAGATGCTAACAGTGAGC